AAAAAAAAAAAAAAAAAAAAAAAAAAAAAAAACACTAAAAACTCACCCCCAAATTTCACCCAACTAAACAAGTAGACAGACAACACATAACAATAACAACACAACACGGCACGGCACAGGACGGCACAACACAACACACACACTCTCCATTTCTCTCCGCTTACTGTAAGTTATGATCCATCCAAGATGGTAAAGAAATTAAAAGAAGCTGAAATGACATGGCCCCCGGGGAAGATCGGGTCGGGGGCCGAAAAGCACGCGGGACGGCACGGAGGGATTGAATAGTCCAATCCTATCCGACCAACGTACCTACTTTTTGCAGAGTCATAACTAACTGTCAAGGAAGAATATTATCCGGAGGGTTTACTCTAATCGGCAAGTAGTAAGAAATTCATCCATTTTGTTGGGTCGTGCCAGCTAAATTATTTAGTTATTTTTACTTTTTAAGTAAATGCTGGGCGCTTGTCTAGCCGAGCTGGCGGATGGATGGGATCAATCTGGTGATCCTGCCATGTGCGATGATGTTGATGATGATGTCGTGTCTTTCCCCGGTTTTTCATTTCCCCGGGTCCAACTAACGCATGCTACGGAGGTTTCTTCCACGGCCATACTGCTGGCATTGACTTATGTGGCAAATTTGTTCTGCTGATCACGACGTGATGCATGTCCTGTGTATGTACGTAGGCGACTATGGCTGCCGCGCCCTACAGATGACGAAGGTAATCGTGCTTCCAAACGCCTGTTCCGGTCCTAGTGTAGGTATTCCTGAAACTCCTAACATACAATCAACCAAACGCGTTCATACAGCATGTGCTAGGCCTTCGGCCGAATGACCCGGATCATGCAAGAGACGAAGTCGTCTTCCACTGGTACAATGCCCGCAGCACCGCGACACCTCCTGACTGTGTCTCAACAGTGCGTCCGCGACCACGATCGTTGTAATCGTTTGGCACATAGTCACGCTCTGTGAAACCTGACCGCTCGGGTGCAGCTCCCCAGCCCTGCAGCTGTCGTGTGGAATCAAGTCCCAGCGTCTCCTCGTTGCTGGGACCCTTAGAGCCACGGCTGCGGAGAAGGCCCGTCAACGCCTCCGAGCCCTCAGCCTGCGCCCCATAATTTTGATAGTCGATCGCCCCCTGCGGCAGAGGACTCACGTCGGTGGCGGTGGTGTTTCCCCACCACTCCCCGATCTTGCCGTCGCCATTCTTGGTCAACAGAGCGGCGTTGGCGTTGTGTTCGATCCAGGGGCGGTATGTCCGGCATCGTGCTTGGTGCCACTCGTATACGTACTGCCAGCCGTCTTCCCCGTCCCCTGTGCGGTTGGCACTGGCCAGGAAACGCAATTCCTGCGGCCGGATGTCTCGGCAGAACTCGGCCAAATGATGAAAGAAGATGCCTTTGAAGGTTTGTCCATTTTGGGAGCAGCTCCCGGAAGAGTCGCACGCATCCTCCAACACACCTCCGCGGCCAAGCCCTTCCCACTGCTGACTGCCTTTGTTAGGCCATCCGGTAGCCAAGAGCACATCATTGACCAATCGGTGTCCGTCAGATAAATATTGCTGCGAACCAGTAGCTAACCAAAGTCCCCTTAGCCCGCTAAGGATCACTCCCTGGTTGTATGTATATACCATAGTATTGAGGACATCACACTTGCGTGTGCCAGGATCATCGGCACTCTTCCAACCACTGATATGGAAGCCATCGCCATAGAGGCCATTGGAACCCGTCATGTTGGAGGCATTTAGCCACGAATATCCCTCGATGGCGGCCTGCAGATGAGTTGGATCGTGAGGGTAACCGTCTGACCAGTTCTCGTCGTCCAGTGTGGTTCCCATAAAGGGTGAATCAATAAAGTCTCCGGGAAAGTAGAGATACATCCCGATGCTAGCGGCTATGTACAGCTCATTGGTGATGGCATTTTTGTACGGCGTCAGGTAAGGGCTCCAGATCATCCCGCCATTACACAAGGAAACGTCCCAGCCCCCGGACGCAAGTCCATAGAACACACGTGCCCGATGAGCCGCCGGGGACTGAAACTGGGTTCCATGCCAGAGGCGCTTCGTTGTCTCGTTGGGTGAGAAGGGGTCATCGTAATGCAGGTCGCTGTGTAAGACTTGGAACTTTATGTTCTCCAGCCATCCCAAAACGACCCATAACATATCATCAAAGGCCTGATTTCTTACGGCAAAGGCATCCTCGCCAAAGTAGAATGCCGAGGTTTGGTCAAAATAATGGTTAATGAGATTCTCGAATCCCAACGTATACTGTTCGGTTATTTCTTCCGACTGTCTGTGATCCCCGCTAGCACTCGCTGAAAGAATGTCTGCCAATACATCCCCCGCAGTAGAAGTCAGTGAGGAGAGGGTGGCGGAGACATGAGTCCCAAGCACGGCAGCAGTCCAATCGATACTAGTAGGCCAAGTGCCTTGCCAAAGCTGGAAGTAGTCATCCTGCATCACCTTGAGAGCATCCAGCAAATCGTCATAAGTGCGACTTATCGAGCCGATCGGTTCACTAGGCTTCTCTGGAGCAGGAAGGGGAAACTGCTTTGATGGGGGATCGGTTGAATCCTCCAGCGGAATCTGCGCATTTGGAGACAATGGCGCAAGGACGTCCTGCGACCGCAACGCCAGCGCATTGGTCTCAGAGAAGACTGCAAGCAAGCAGAGCAACCTATGAATAGCAAATAACGCACGCATATTGAAGGCTTTCTAGTTGTAAGTCCCTCAATCCCGCAGAGAACGACTGGTCTCGTGGTCCTGGTCCTGGCCCTGGTTCCTGGTTACCAAGGGCGGAGAGATACCGATAAGCAAAGTGTCGAGAATGATTCGAGGTAACGATAAGTGAGGATTGACTTTGAGCACGCAGAACTCGAGACAGACGCGGAGAGAGTGAGAGCTCAGAAAACAGCCAGCATCCAACGAACAGCGAGACTCCAATGAGGCATATTTCAACGGTCAATGGTCCCCAATCCGGGCCATGAACGAGGGAAGGAAGTGGCGTTGAGCGATAAGTTTCGACGTTCGGCCGTTGCGGGGAAGGAGAGACCCCGGGGCTTAACTAAGCCAGCCATTCGCCGTGCTTTTCAGCCCTCCGGCTGACCCTCCGCAGCCTCAGCTGCTGCTCTCTCCCTTCCAGCCTCGTCCTCTCCGCACTCGATCGTCGTGGGCTCTCGTTCTTGGTATCCTATCACGCGCCCGGGCTGCGGGGATCTCATGCCTGATTTCTGCCCGTCCCCATCGATCTTCTGATCCATTCGTCGCAGAGTCATATATAGTGTGCATTCCACGCACTATCTGATGACCAATAGCAGTCATTTGGATCTACAAAACTCTATCTGGACTATGGGTCTCGGGATTGATGTGAGAGGTCGAAAGACCTATCCATGTGCTGGACGATGGAAGAAATGATGATTAGAGCAGAAAATGCTACAAGTATAGCCCCAGCCACATGAGCATCAGAGGCAGTGGGTTTCATCTGAATTAATCTTGGAACTAGTAGA